GATATGAATCAAAGCATACAACAATAAGAATTTCTTGTCTCTAAATGTTTTTTTTTTCTTTGCAGATTTACTAATTCAGGCCTTTTTCTGCAAAATCACTGACATTATGGCAGATAGCTCTAAAAAATATTGCTCTAATTTAGTACTCCAATATTTTGTTTCCTCTTCTTGAAGACAAGCACAGAGCCCTTTGTGGTCTTCCTGCCATGGAATGTCACCTTACATTCTAAACGCTTGTTAAAATCGGCTACTCGAGGGATGAAGGTCATGGTCGATGTTGTTGACCACAACCATTTATTCTCCTGTTTTGACATTGTGTTCCACGTTCCTGCGCGGCTCCAGGAGATGTGGGGAGGAGATGTTGGACAGACGTGAGTAACTTTGCAGGTGGCAGTCACTTTATTACGGACTTCTATAGTCATCACGGGAGGCTTAGGAACTTCTGTACAATCAACAATTTTCACAAAATCACTTGTTAAATAGTTATTTAAACATGTTTTACTATCTTAAAGTAAATGGTTTAGAAATACTGAAAAGGTCTCCAATATACTCACGGAAGATATCGAGGGTCACCTTATTTTTTGAGTAAGTGAAGCTTTTATGTTGTGGAATTTCAATTCTGAAGTAAAACGGACCAGTGTCGGTTTTTCTGATGAAATACAGCTGCCAGGTACAGTTGCCACTTTCAATGCTTCCTGCCATTCTGGTTCGATGGTGGAACTCGCGCGTTAGTCTCAACTCGGGGAAATTTGATGCGACCATCGTGTGCCCTCTGAACCAGAATGCCCGAAATCTGTTCAATATTTTTTTTGTCTTGGGATACGAATATACACAGGGAATGACCACACATGAGCTTTCAAGAACAGGGATTCTTGATGGCACATTTATGAGAAAGTCCTTGCCAAAGAATTTAGATTCAGCCATTCCTGTAATAAAAGCACAAAAACAAGAATACTTTCTTAGCAAGCAGACAATGATAGAATGATGATAATTCATGAATTGTCATTTTAAGATTAAACTTACCACAAACCATCAGAATTGAGAGCCACAATTTCAGATCCATCATCAGCTGACTAGAAGTATAAAAACCAACAAAAAATTAAGATAAATATCTAAAAATCTTTAGTGAATTCTTCTTAATCTTCAAAGTAATGATCCACTCACCTTGAAGTTTCTTTAACATATGACTGAAATCAAATCTTGTAAGATTTGAACGTTTTGCAGTCCAAGAATATGTCTCTGTCCTATTGTGTGGTGAGAGAGAGTCTTGTGCTTATAAAGCAAAAGTTTAGACCTTCAAACCAGAAATTGCTAGTTTGCAATCAACTTTCCCAACGTCATAAGAGGATTATTATGTAGCTATGTTGTACTTTTTCCGTGAACAAATTTTAGATGGAGGAAAAAAATAAATGTAGCACAAGTACTAAATAAAATCTGTAACAATGTGGTCTTTGAATTAGAAGGTTGTCATGTAAAATCAGTTCACTGTATCCTAATGAATCACTTCCTGAAAGTCAGCACAGTGTACCCAGCATCAGGTGTGGAGTAATTAAATATAGTAAAGATTGACATCAGATCGAATCTTTGGAAATTTTATATTTTTAATCAGTTCCATAACATTACCAATGCAGAAAAATGTGGTAAGAAAATTTTGCTGACATCATGGCAGTACTCAGATAAATGTTAAAATGCAATAAGAAATATATAATTTCACTGCTTTTCCTTTAAACATGTTTGCTAATGTAGCTAATGCTTTTCCTTGTATTGTTTGCTAATGTAAAGAAATCTGCAAACAAGCGATGTTACATGAGAACCAGTTTTCTTTTTTGTTTTATACATCCATCCATCCATCCATTTTCTTATTCCCTTGTCCCTAGTAGGGTTGTGAGGGGTGCTGGTGCCCATCTCCAGTCAATGTTTCAGGCGAGAGGCGGGGTCACCCTGGACAGGTCCCCAGTCTGTCGCAGGGCAACACAGAGAGGACAAACAGCCATGAACACACAGCAAATTCAAAAGTGTTAGATTTCCAGTGTTAGTGTTGTATGTTAAAAATACAGTGTTAATTCAATAACTTGAGTGTTAGTTTCCCTAGTGAGTTCCAAAGAGTTGAACAAAAAGCAATCCAGTCCAGTGTTGATTTCTAAATTAACTCCAACAGTAACTCAGTCTGGTGTTGCTTTAGAAA